TGTGTGTATATATATATGTGTATAGTTTTGCGGTTACCATAACATTCCAAAAGAATTCCAAAAGAGTTCACCTGTATATTATAACTGCAACAACATTGTCGTTGTACACATGATACAGAGGCATTTAAAGCGGTGCTTGTTTGACTATCGGCTGTAAAAAGTGATCTCTATTTTCAGAGGCTGTGAAGGGGAGGGAGGAAGTGGTTCGGTTAGACACAGACTATTAAGTGACTTATTGTTAGTCGCCGTCTGGTTTGAATATATGACGTTGAACCGTTGGGGAAGAAGACACATATCGAATGAATCACTGTTTGTTCATCTATGGTTCACTAATTCAAATATGACACCTGTGTCTCTGTTTATGTTTCACGTTTGGCCTCGAGTCAATTATGAAAGCTGTGAGGAAGCAAACCTTCTGTTGGTGAGACATATTCTTTGGTCGTTGGGCATGAGTTACTCCTGCAGGTTTCTGTTATCTTTTTTTTTTTTTTTACCACAGAGAACGAGACTTATTCCTGGAGGCACGACCTGGACATCATTAATAAATGATAGTTGGCTATAGTTGTGAGGGCGAAAGAGGGTTTTCAAATAGAGGTATTCTTCGCTCCTGGAGGAGAAAGAAGTCTGATGAATTAGGAGGGACAGTGAGCTGAGACAAATGATTTTACTCCACTCAGTGTCGAGACAACACTGTGTTACTTCACTGTGTCTTCAGGGCGGATGACTGTATATCATGTGTGCCATTTTTGCTCCGTGAAACAGTCTCATGATGCATGTGCTCCTGTACATGTCACTGTAAGTTAGGCCTTCTAATCCCTGCACCAAATATAATAATGAACCGTGGAGTCGTGTGTCTGCGTGAAGAGACATCTCTCGACCGATGGTGGCACTTCTGTACAGCATTTAAGTCTGAGAGAATGGTGGGGGAAGTAGAGAAGCGTGGTGGGAGGGTCAGGTAAGAGGAGGAGGAGGAGGAGGAGGAGGAGGAGGAGGAAGAGACGAGCCACTGGGCCTGACTGTACTTGCCAGCACATTTGGGGAAAAGCACTGAGAGCACAGCCTTATACAGACATTTCCAAGAGAGCGTGTGCCCAGGCTGTGCACCGCGGCTTCCTGTTAACCCCTGACTTACCGAGAACCCACACAGGGATGAGGTCTTGAAGATGGGGGGGGGGTTCAGTTTTTGTGGGTTTTTTTTTTAAGAATATACATGCAGTTTGAATATCATCTTGGTGAATCCTGTGCTGAAGTCCTTTTGCTTTAGGTATTTGGTGGCTCAGATCCCTCCCAGAGCATCGGCCAGTGAACCTATTTGTGCTTAAGAGAAAACCTCTTAAGCTAACTAAGTGACCAGTTGACTTAGCTCCACAGCCAGCGTCACTGGTGGTCTTCATCGGAGGAAGGACAGGAATAGATAGTTTGTGATCACGCCTGTCACCAGTTTTTATTCCAGTGCTGAAACCCAGTCCAGTCAGATCCAGCTGTGAGTCTTCTTCTACCCAGTGGACCGGGTCACCACATGGACACACGTGCTGGCAGGTTGACGGGTGCGAGGGTGCGTGCGGGTGCTCGTCTTCATGCGCGTGTTTGCCGCACGCTTTTAGCGCCTCGGTGTCCGTAGTTCTATCAATAATGCATTGGCTCACTCTCGGTCTCGCTCCTGAGCCCTGGCTTTCTCTGCCATTAAATATGCATCCGTTTCCCAGTCCGAAGTCTCTGTCCCCCTTCGCAGTTCCGATAAGCCCTCTCTGCCCCGCACATCAACAGCAGGCTGGATGCAGATGATGCAGTGAGATCGGAGAGCGCTGCAGTATTTATCCATCCAGCCCGAAGTGATTGATGGCCGTTGAGTGTTGATTTAAGGCCAAAGTCAAATTTGAACCCATTTCCAGAGTGCTTTCTCTCCCTTGAATTTGTATTCGTTGTTGTCAAAATGTTAATGTGACTTAGTTTATCTAAGATATTAACAGTAACAACCCGTTGGGATGTGACTTTGACAGGCCGTGCCAAACAGAGAATCAAAGATCATAGTTTTGTGAAAACATCCTGTTGCAATATTTTGGCATAAATGCATGGCGATGACATTCATAGTAAGGACCCCTCCAACTAGTTTTATATTTATTTATTTATCATTTTTACCAATATGTGAACCAAGCGAGACATTGTAAATTTAAAAAATAAACAAACGTATCAGTGCTATTTTGCGTACAAAGTATGTACTGGAGCATTGTTCTACATTATCCCAAATATTTATTTTTCATATCTGTAATGCGGCATACAGTACATGCAGATGCAACATGTCTATAATGGGCTGAAATCTGCATCAATTCTGTCATCTCTCAACAAGAAAGTGAATAAGCATATTTCCCAAAACATCAAACTATTCCTTCACAGTGCAGTACTAAAAGCCTTGGTCTTTTCTGTTGCTTTGTCATAAGCTTGCCTATTGAAATGTACAAACTGTGTGCTATGTTTGTTCAGTTTTGTTTGCTTTTGCCCAACCAATTTATCTCTCTACCTCATTTAGCATAGACCATTCCTATGTCAACCAGATTCATCCCACATCCCACTACTGTCTGTATTTACATATTTTCTGTGACTTCTAACCTGTCCAAACTGTTGAAGATTAGGTCCCGCCTCATTACATGCCTCTCGACTGATAGTGCACAGGGCTTGCCCTTAACGCTTGCCCTGGGCAAGTAAACTCTAATGTTCTGGCAAGGCCTCATGCAGGTGAAAAATATATGTGATCTCTATTAGGGATCGGCCGATATTCAGTAAACATCTGTGTTGCATTCGGCTGAAGGAGAGCGGGTTAACGTTGGCTGTATGCGGCCGGTGGGCAACACAGTCCTGCTTGGCTAAGTAACGGAGATTACAGTAAAACAAGTGTTGCATTGATTTTCATTATGGTGCATTCATGCTCTACTAAAAAAAACGAGTATTGGGCAATGGTAAATTATAACGTGTTCAAATGTAATCTTGTAAAATGTTGTTCCAGGCTTGAAACTTAAATAAATATAGTTGTTTGAAGTAGATCAATTTAAAATGGATAATATTAAAGAGGGAATTATGACCTGTTTAACTTCCTAACACTAGGATTATGCATCTGAGATGTATGTTTTGTGCATTAATACATTTCAAAAATTGTCCAAAACCGTGTTGTTTGGCAAGTAAAACATCTCAGCTACTTCTCTGTTTGACCAATAGAAATGCAGACACACAAATTACACAAAACTAGTAGTTAAAAGTTATCGCTGCCATATGTTTGTCAAAATACAAGAATTACAAGTAAAGTGCAAAACATCTGCAAAAATCTCTCTAGCTGCAGTTTGTCAAAAAAGTTACTATTAAAATTGTACCAACATTGACTGTAGCACAGTTATTAGATGTGTGGCAAATATGTTTTTAAGTTCATATAATACACGTTTATGTGATTGACAGCAACCCCAGAACTATCTGCTGTGTTGTCAAATGTCAACTACATTAGGAAAATACCGGACTTATGTGCGCGTGTGCCATATAGATTGTTCAGGCTGAGTCGGTCCTTATTTGGCAGTGTTGGCAACAGGAAGTGGGTTGTGGCTTTGGTGCTGTGTCACTAGAAGGAGCAGATTGTATCAGAGGCGAGACAGATGGAGGGAGAGGGGGGAAGACATGGATTAGGGGACTATGGTTAGAGCTCAGGGGGCACATGAGGAGAGGAAGGGGGGGATTGGTAAAAAATATATATAGAATTGTAATTGACAGCCACATTTGTTACTGTGTTTAGGCCATGGTTGTGGTGTAGGATTATTTGTGGTATTCTCTTCTACAATGAACGATTAAAGTTCTCTTTAGATCTCGGTGTCTGGTATGCAAATGCACTCACTCTGCAGCTACCTAAACTTGCATATTCCTGAAAGTGTTGTAAATCGTGTGTGTATTCCCGCCTGCATGCGACTATGAATACGCGTTTTGTCACTGATCAAACAGCACACGTCTTCTTGCAAAGTGTGTGGAGGTGGAGGTTGATGCAGAGCAGGTGGGAGATTGCAGCGCCTCGTCTCTTTGGCGGAGCTCCGCACAACTTCCCGTCTTTGTCGGCCTCCATTGTTGTCTCGCCTTCCATCTTGTTTGGCATCGAGCTAATCTCTTTCTCCTCTCAAATCAGCACTTCTCTGCACTCCGTCTCTTAGTCTTTCACCTTGCTTTGACATATATGGTAGGACACGGGTAGAGGAGGTCCTAAACTTTGGCCCATCCGGAGAGTGTGGGGTAGTTCTCTGTGGCCAGAGAGACACTGTATGACTATCAGCAACACTCGACGTGTTCACAAACTATACTCTGATACATCTGCTGTACGTTTTGTGTCCTTGCACTCTTGCAGAGGCAATGTGTTGGGACAGTGTGAAACCTCAAGAGGAAGAACTGAGTGTTTGTCCATCCGATGTCTTCAGTTCTTTCCAGCTGCAGTCTACACTACATATCATTTAATGGCATTTCAAAGTGGTGAAATAAAGAATTATGTTCAAATTATAGATAATTGTTTTGTTTTTTACATTGTAATCTGGTATAACATTTGATATTACACAATCATACACAATGCACAATCATTTCCGCTCTTTTACACTCAACTCTGTGTGTATTCACTGAAACTGAAGTTCAAGCACATAACTTGTTCCTCTCTCGGGGCAAAATAGAAAATAAATCTATAGATATAACCCTTGAAGATCCTTTTAAGCTTATAGATCTAAAGACCATGTTTGTGGTAGCGACCACAAAGATCATTGGCAATATCTTTTGTCGGCTGAGTGACTACCACTAATCCCCGTTTCATGTTTGTGCCAATGTTGTTGTTTTTTGCAGTTACCAGTACAAAAGTGATGTTTTGTGTTGTGTCGGCTTTGACAAACAAACAAAATGATGCACGTCTCAGAACCTTTATACCCCTTAAAGTCATCTCAACGTTTCTTGATTGTAATGAATGTTCTCTTCCTGTCCTGCTCTCTGTCTCTCAGTGAGTCGAGTATTTGCCAGGCTCGGGCCACTGTGATGATCTACGACGATGGCAATAAGAAGTGGCTGCCGGCGGGCACTGGACCGCAGGCCTTCAGCCGAGTCCAGATCTATCACAACCCTTCCACCAATGCCTTCAGGATAGTGGGACGCAAGATGCAGACGGACCAGCAGGTACATCTGCTAGCTTGAAGTGTGTGTGTGTGTGTGTGTGTGTGTGTGTGTGTGTGTGTGTGTGTGGCTCATCTTTCTGCGTCCGTCATGTGGCTCGTGGGCGTCTGTTGTCTACTGTGAGGGCCTCGGGGTGTATGAATAAGCAGGCAAGTGTGAGACGGTCTATCTTTGTATGTGCCCGTTCATTCACATTATCGCCATATAGAGAACATTTATTGTACGTACTGTGATCATTTCATCAGCAGTACCAGAGAAGACATTGTTGTCAATCGCTCCAGGACTTTATTGCTTGTTTTAATTGCATTTGTTTTGTCAATTAGTTACTTTGTATATATGACAGCCTGGACCGCGTCCCAGCAAAATATTTAGAGCACCTCCAACATATCACACATATCTGGTGACACGCTGAACTATCACGTCAGAGTTTATGGTTTCACAGTTTCAGCAGAGGCAAGAGTACCTCACGTCTACGGGTATATTTCATTTAATTTGATTGTTAATCTTGATGTAAGGAGAGTGAGAGAGGCTGCAATCTGTTGTGTAGCAGTAGTTACTGTCTTGTGTTTTTGGAATAAGGGAGCCATTATACATTGTGTGTATATATATATATATCAAGATGATGTTAGTTATGTTGCCCAGCCACACGACACAGAATATGTTTGATAGTCAGCCTTGAATTAGCCTCTTAAGCATGCACACATCATGTGTTGAGTTTTGTCCTTTATTTTTTAGTCTAACCTAAAGCTGAACATGTGGCGTTCATTTTGGGCATGATGTGTGCTTAGTGAGAAGAGAGACTGTTCTTCGGACGTGATAATCTACAGGCATGTTGGAAAAGGAGAACAAAGAGGGTTTCCTTGTCGTTATCACCAGATTCTGACTCACCAGATATCACCAGATAAAGGTGGGCAGACTCCAAGTGAAAGCGCCGGGTGAACTGAGTTTGGGCGGCTCTACTCTCGACTACGCCCCTCTCTCTCCCTGCTGCCTCGGTGTCTCTCTCCTTCTTTAAACATTCAGGACTCCAAAGTGTTCCCCAGAGACGGCTCTTAAAGTGGATGATGTTTCCTGGGATAGTTAACCCGTTCAACCATTTCCTGTGACAATTTAGGAATGACGCCTGACACCCAATGAGGACTCTATATTTGTGTCTAATGGAGACATGCAATGTGGTTTCGGATGGTGCTGGATGAGATCACAGGGGAAGCTAATGAGAGAGAATATAGCGTGGCTGTGTTTTCTCTCTCCTTCCATGTTCCCTAATGTTCTCTCTCGGCTCTGCCTGCATGTAGAGTAACTTTTAGTTGTTTTTACGCTCGTCTTTTCAATTTGCTTTGTGCGTCCCAGCCTAATTGTATGATTGAACTTCATTGAAAGTGGAACCATGGTGTTATTGTTTTTCTGTAGACATTCAGGCTATTTAAACATGCTGCTTTCTTTCACTGAAAACAGGAAATGGAATCTCCCCCATTTCATCCTTTTAGTTTCTGTCATCCTCAGTCTGCCCCTCTTGCCTTTCTGACAGGATTGTGGAGAGGTTAGGAATGCCACACTGTCTGCAGTGGCAGCTGAACTTGCAACCCTGTTTTTAGTGCATGTTGCTCGCTACGATATTTACCCTGACGGGGTCTCCTCTCCTCTCTGCTCTGTGGAATCCAGAGGCTGTTAAACAAATAGTGAAATGGCGCATCAGCACATTCAGGCAACACTCAAACCCGGAACATTTTTCCCCTTGTGGTTCATAGGCTTCACGCCACCTGCTGGGTGGACTATAAACCAGGATAATCCAACCAAAATAAAGCAGACAGTTTGATTGGGCGGGGGGGGTGGATTTGTTGTTTTTCTAGGAAGCTTCTAGAAACTATCCTTTTATTTCTTCGCGCCAATTGTTTGAATGTGGACAAAAGGCCACAAAAGTACTAATTTGGCTCACCATTGCTCCCAAAAAGAATCCTTGTGTCGATCATCTGTCCTCTTCCCTCTCCAGGTGGTTATAAACTGTCCCATTGTGAAAGGTCTCAAGTACAACCAGGCCACAAACAATTTCCACCAGTGGCGGGATGCCCGGCAGGTGTGGGGCCTCAACTTCGGCAGCAAAGAGGACGCTAATCTTTTTGCCAATGGCATGGCTCATGCTCTGGAGGTGCTCACCTCCATGGCAGACGCAGGTAAATGAGTTCGCACAAGATTCACAGTTCCATCAGAATCCGAAGCTAATTGAGATTCAACTTCAAGTCCATGAAAAGGGAAATGAAACCGTAACAGGAATAGAAAATGGTTATTTTTATTATGCTGCAAATCCTTTTGGTCTCAACTAATGGAGATTAAATCTCGTACATAATTATTCTGCCCTAATCCATGTCTCAGATATAGGAAACTTATTCCAATAGTTTTTTTGCAGAACTCTTTTTCTTTGTCCAAAAACGTAATGAGAACAGGTATGTTATTTTAGTCTTTCTGTTTGTTTACACCAGCTGGCTGTTTAGATCCAATCTGATCCTTTACGTGTTTTTGTTTTGTTTAACCGTGAACTAAATAGAAGAAATGCTGCATTTTAAGAGCTCTGAACCCAACCGCAATGAATGACCTTAAAATATATTAAAGGTACAGCGCCCTTCTTGGTCCCTCTGTAGTATCATGTCTGTCTCCACCATACTCAGACTTTGCACGTTCAGCTGCCTGGGTAGAAAAGGTGTGTACACTAATAAAAGCACATAAACAGTTGGATACAATTCAAAGAGTGTCATCAAATACAAATCAGAAAGTGTTTAGAATTCACAGCAATGTATGCATGTTCTTTAATCTTGTTTATTTTCATCAGGAATGTTTTTTCTGTGTTGTGTTTCGGCAGGCTATTCAACCCTCCCCCGCCCAGTGTCAAATGGACCTACTCCAGAAGAGCTTGAACAACAGAGAAGGTACCTTCAGGCTTCCTCTAAATGGAACCTGCCTTTATTTTACTGTGCTGATTATAATAAACCGCTGGCCACATTTTATTAGAAATCCACTTGGATGTCTTCTGGGCCTGATTCAGCAAAAAGAAAATGAATGTATCCAGTTGTTAACCCTGACAACATGGCCAGGTTTGTTCTAGGTTTGCAGAGAGATGAACAATGTCAATATTTGTTTTATGAAGATTTTCTTTGGAAGCAAGTCGTTTGTGTAGACAAGTTGGCTGTCCTGTAAGGCCATGTGAAGTGTATGTTTCTAACAGAAGCAAACTATCCTCTGGGTCTAGTTGCATAACATCCAATAGCAAGTCAAGCTGTCTTGGCTTTGGAGTAGTCCTGTTTGCACACACGCATACATAGAGGATTTGATGGCATTAGACAGACAGTGCTAAACCCTCTGTCAGCCCCTGTAGGTTAAAGGTTAAAAAGACAGCAAGGCGGACACCTCGCATCAACCTTCACCGTCTCTCCATCCATCTAGCTGTGTCTCCCGCGAGACCCGACGCGGTGTCACCGTGCATGCCTCGGCATTAACCTTTTAATCCCATTTAGACTAAAAGGTAATATGTTGCCCAGTAGGGGAGGCTTTGTGATTGGCTAGAGGGACTGTCTGTCAACTTCTAAGCTGTCCCAGTGGTTGATGACATACTGTAGCTTAGGGAGCCTTTGAAAAGCCCTTTTGAAATCCAGCATGGATGCAGGTGTTGGTGGATATAATTTGCATTGATGCTTTTAGGTCTGATGAACGTAGATTCACGATATTATTCACCATTGTCGAATGGCTGTCGCAAAAAAAATCTGAAAAACATAAGGACGTCATATCCCTTCCCCCCTTTCCTGGGCACTCTGCCTAAGTGGATCAGCTGTGCTTTAAATCACAGCGACTCTCGCATTGTGTGCATGCTTGTGTGTGTGGACCTGTACATTTTTGAGTTAGGTGCACATTGTACGTGTGCTGTTCAGTAAACAGCTGTTGTGAGTGGCAGATGTGATGAGGGAGAGGGGAGGGAGCAGTAGTGAATCAGGCCACCGTGTCCAGCTGTGGACTTTTCAGTGGAAGGCAAATCAGAAGCTACGAAATCCACCTCTCATTCTTCTACAGAGGCCGGTGTATTGAAAACAAATCCCGATTATAGCTCTTCACACCAGTGCCAAAAACTATAATTAGACGGGAGTTGTTTGAACACAATGGCTGTTGCATTCATAATCAAATAATTTGGACATTTACACATAAATTGGGAATGGCTGAGAGCCAGCACTGCCCATCATGTCCCCTTTGCCAACTTACCGCTTTGTTTATCTGTCCTGTTCGTCCACTGATTTATTTTGTTTGCATACATTTGCCGCTGACAGATGTGTTTGTTTTGCGCGTAGATTGGAGCAGCAGAAGCTGGAACAGCAGGAACGAGAGCGCCAGGAACGGGAGAGACAGGAGCGGGAGAGACAGGAAAGAGAGAGACTGGAGAGAGAGAGACAAGCTGCTGCAGGTCAGGAAGCACCTGGGCTGGTCAACACAACTCCACCTCACTCCAATATAGTACAGTCTTAGAGACTTTTATTAAGTGGACACCGTTTCTTAAGGCCCCCACCACACACATTGCGTTACAGGCACCTTGCATACTGTGCGTCTAATATATCTTGGGCACACATTTTTTAGCATGTCATATATAGTTTGGGAATGCTTACTGATGGTGCCTTTCTGTGTTTTAGTCTCTATGCCTCCACCTCCACCGCTGGCCACTGGAGGCCCTCCTCCTCCACCGGGCCCTCCACCACCCCCTGGCCCTCCACCACCCCCTGGCCCTCCTCTGTCTATTGGCGTCCCTCCCCCGCCTGGACCACCACCTCCGCCGGCCCCGCCCCTGCCCTCCCTCGGAGGAGGAGGAGGTGGCAATAGTGGTGGTAGTGGTGGTAGTGGTGGTGGTGGTGGAGGAGGAGGAGGTGGAGGAGATGGTGACGGTGATGGCGGGGGATTTGGAGGAGGGGGCTTGGCAGCTGCCATAGCAGGAGCTAAACTCCGCAAAGTATCAAAGGTGAGTAAATGATACTTTTGACAGTCCCGTTGCTTTGTAACTGCTTTTAAAGGAAGGTGAGCTGGACTCTAGTTGAATCCATTATGTGCTTCTCTAATAACACAAATAGAATGCTGCTGCTGTATTGATCCATTGTTCCTGCTGGTGTAGCTATGAAACCTGCATCCGTCAGTGTTTATTGAGTCATCGTGCCTACACAGTATGTCTGCTGAACTCTTCTGTATCTTTTTGCTATTTGCTGCCCTCAGCAGGAGGACGGAGCTCCTGCAACACCAATAGGCAGAGCCGACCCCAGCCGCAGCAGCGCCTCTTCTGGCGGAGGAGGTGGAGGGGGTTTGATGGGTGAAATGAGTGCCATCTTGGCACGAAGGTGTGTGTGTGTGTGTGTGTGTGTGTGTGTGTGTGTGTGTGTGTGTG